AACAAATTCAAAAGTAGGGAGTTCCTACCACGCGATTTTCGACTTTGATGAGAATGCTAATTAAAAATAGGATGCAGTTACACTTGTTCAACAAAACGTGTTATCTCAGTTCCTTGCTAGACACAACCATAGACGAAAATAAATACATTAGTTGAATATGAATAAAATAAACGACCGTTAAATTTATCTATTTTATTTAGTTGAACACATAAATATTAGTACAAGGGGGCACTAGATATATATGCGCCACACAAATCAAAATCAAACAACATAACGTATATTAAGACCTAAACCTGCTTCGTTTTGGGCACCCGAGCAGTATCACAGCCCTCACACAAATCAAATGAGATATTTGGCGCATATGTATCTGGTGACCCCTTGTACCAATATCTATATGTTCAAATAAACAAATTAATTAAGATCTACAATGGTAAAACAATCCCAAAATCTGACTGTTGTTGGGTTAGTGCAATAAAGAATTAGCGATTAGACAAAAATTCCATTCCCAAACAAAAAAATACCGAACAGTAATACCCCTAAATCCGGAGCCTTTTTAATGTACATAATTAGCTATCTTTGGAGCAGATTACTTAGGATTTTAGAATGACTACGGGTTTTTAAAATTATATGATAGGAAGTTAATTCGTAGAATTAAGTAAATCATTTTGGCCACATTAAACACCACATCAAATTGTGTTGGAAAAGTTTGCTTATTTCAAATAAAATAATTGTAAAATAGTACTATCTAAACTTGGATTTTGATTTGGTTATATATTCTCTGAAGAAGTGACTTACGAGTCACGAAACGTCAGAAAACCTCATTTTCTACTCATAGGGATATTACAAATACTTTATTTATAACAATCTACCCAATGCCCAATTTATTTGAAATTATCAAGCCAAACCTTGATAATGGTACCTACAGTTTACTTGTAGCATCTTACTAAAAATTAAATCATCCTTCCACATATTTGTTTGTAATCGCATTGATCAGATAATTAGAGCAATAATCCATAACTTTATCTAATACAGTTCTAGAATATTAAAAATTCTCATTGTGAAAATTGGAACAACACATATAAGCGAACAATTGTTTTCAATTAGATCGCCATCAGGCTTTACTCTAATATACATGAATATTTATACGAAAATGTAAACCAATCAAGGCAATATGGGTCAATAATCACAATGAAATAGAATAAGTCTCTACACATAATAGGTAAAAGTACATGTTTATAGTAGGAAGACAGGTGAACTGATAATAGTAAGAATAATAGAATACGATAACATAAGTCTTATCAATAGTTAAACGTTGGGAATAAAAGGTCAAACAAACGTGGGTAAATAGACTAGGAATAGTAATCAAAAAACATTAAAATCATTACGTAATAAGATGTGTGTAAATAATTAGATAGTGAAGAATACGAAGAGGCGGAAAATTACAAATAAATACTAGATGTGAAAATAAGGTTAACGATAACACAAATAGAATAAAATAAACAATTATAATAATAAAATTTTAAAAAAACTCGTTAGTTAAGTTATAACTGACCATGGAAGGGATAGGGGGGTTACGTATTTCTTCTGTACACATAAATTAGGGTTATATGTACGAATTCCAATGGCTTCAGCTATATGTAGGAGGCGAGAACGAACTCCGTTTGAAAATGATGGAGGTATACGATAGATAACTCGAAATGATTTCGACTTATCTACAGCATGACCGCTATCAATGAGATAGGCCAAGATAGAACTGCGAATAGATTTTATCTGGCCATTCATGTACCAAGTTGGTAGATGTTCACTCATTCGTTGGTTAAGTTGCCTGGTAGTACGCCCTATATAGCTATCTCCACAGGAGCAGCCGAATTTGTAAATGCACATAGAAGAGGCCGACTCAGGTAACTTATCCTTCGTTTCAGTAGACAACGCTGGTCGACAAGAGGTTAACGCAAGATTGGTTGCGTAGAATGTCTTCGTGATTACTTTATTTAACCTATATTTCAGAGTGTCACTAGCCACATCCCCATTGAATTGCACTTTTATGTATAAAGGTTTCTTAAGAACAGTCGAGATCTCCGACTTCTTTATTATGTCATACATGTACTTCTTAATGAAAGCACTGGGGTAGCCGATCTCGGTCAATGTGTTGTTGATAAATTCAAGCTCCTGACTTAGAGTATCTACTGTACAGATCTTTTTTGCTCTGCTAGTGAGACATCTGACCAAGTTTCTCTTGTAACGTATAGGTGTGAAACTGCAGAAGTGAGCATATTGGCATGAAGAGGGGTTTCTTCTATTCACGCTTCTACTTAATGTGCCGTCACTTCGCCTGCTTAGTGTGACGTCAAGGAAGTTCAGCTTCTTATCATGCTCGCTTTCACCAGTGAAAGTGATCGCTGGGTGAACACTGTTGAATTGTTCTAGGAGTTCCTCCTTACTTGTGTTTTGATCTACGATAATGAAGGTGTCGTCAATGTAGCGGCAATATAAATCAATTTTCTTAATAGTCTCATCTTATTTCGTAATGATTTTAATGTTTTGTGATTACTATTCCTAGTCTATTTACCCACGTTTGTTTGACCTTTTATTCCCAACGTTTAACTATTGATAAGACTTATGTTATCGTATTCTATTATTCTTACTATTATCAGTTCACCTGTCTTCCTACTATAAACTTGTACTTTTACCTATTATGTGTAGAGACTTATTCTATTTCATTGTGATTATTGACCCATATTGCCTTGATTGGTTTACATTTTCGTATAAATATTCATGTATATTAGAGTAAAGCCTGATGGCGATCTAATTGAAAACAATTGTTCGCTTATATGTGTTGTTCTTATACAGTTCTCACTAAACCTAAAAAATATACAGGGTGGTAGATCCATTGAAAAGGAGCATGCGGGGATAGTTAACATAGACATTTTGTAATTATTCGCACTTCATTAAATTTCATAGTTTTTACAATTATCTGGTGAATCCAAACGTTTATTTCGTTGATCCCGACCGTTGTTGCTACCTTGACGTGGTGGTCGGGCTTGCCTATCGTGGTGAAGCAACCGAGCTATACTGGCTGGAACAACTGTTCCTCAAGGTCCTACCATGTCAGACAGGTCGGTTGAAGAGCGGTAAGACTAAAAGCAACAAACCCAAGGTCCGAAGGCGAAGTCGTACTGCTGACTGTACAGAGGTGTGACAGCAGTAAGGTGTTTCCTTCAGATAACCAGTATGACAGCGATGCTGCCTTCCCACAAGGAGGGGTGGGGTTAGAAAAGGTCGACCCTAAAAATGCACACCTCGCTTTATCCCACGGATATCCGTCTCCGGCGGTAAGGTCTCAATAAGTACGGAGCTAACACAAAAATTACCCATAACAAGGTCGTGTGTGACCGACCTCAAGCAGTTGTCCCTTGGGCACTGCGGTCACGCTCTCAGGTCACTAAGACCACCTTTAATACAATTTCCTTTTCAGGTACCTCCAGAACAACCCTTCCACGGTGTGGGCAACCGGGAAGTGATAACCGCCCTCATACCTCTAGCAGCACTCAAGACCACTGATTTCGTTGATCATGCTGATTATTACACCAGACCGGTAGGTTTCCTCGTATAATGTATTCTCATAACGATCTTGATGAAGTCGAGTGTCCTCCAATAAAAGCTTCGTCTGAATAACATCACTGAACACATAAAAACTACAGTTAATGCCATTTCGGACTTAAGATTTCCATAATATTGGGTGAAAACCAAACGATCTTGTTTGCTCATATAGCTTTATTTTTGGCACAAGGAACCCGATCACAAGCAACCAAATATGCGGGCACAGTATGTGCCTTTCCGGCTGAGATCGCTGCAGAAATTTGAGACTTAATCGACCAAGTGCATGAACATGGTCCTATGATAAACTCAAAGCAGCAATCATGCAACGCATAACAACCTCTGATAAAAAAAGACTACAATAATTATTAGCAGCATGTTTTGCGATGGAAAACCGTCACGGTTTCCAGTAGACTTTGTAGAGCAGCATGCCTTGAACAACTAACTAGGTACTGGCTTGCAACACCCCATATATGCAACCGGTGTGAATCCGGTGCATATGTTGAGATACCACTTGTTACAGTTGTCAAATTGTATTCCATCCTCGGTCGGAGATAAACATGAGTCTGAAGCAACGACGTTTTAATTAGGTCATTGAAATTAAGGGAGCTCACAGAACCAATACAAAAAACTTTATAATCGAGTAATGAAAGACGACAGAAACAAAAGAGCTCATCCCTAGAAGCGTTGTGGAAGCTCTAAAAGTGATGGACACTGTAACTAAAAACCCGGCTTAAATAAGTATGAGAGAAGCTTTTACACTCTGAGATAACTAAAACTACAAGACCTACCCGACGAGGAAACATACCATTGCCCGTCTCACTCTGTTACAACCTTCCAGTTGTATGGACAAGTGTGCATACAAGTGTCATATAAACTAGAATGAGTCTCCGACGCATTGCTTCTGCCTCAGTGATATTGTGATGACGAATACTTGAAAACTAAATTACTCAGGAGAAACCTAAGGAACAATATAGGGATGTATTATTCTTAATTATGTTGCACAATCATTCATGCAACCTGACTCTGAGCGCTTTGTAGTGATATCAACCTAATATTGCTGGTGTCTAAATGACTCTAAATAATACATAATATTAAAACATGTAGTAAGTAGGAATATGAGCAATCATGGACTGTACTTACTACACTGTTCGAGTTTCATATTGCGCGGTTGCTCTACAAAAATGTGGGTATTTTGCAGCATACTACTTTTGTGCTACAACTTATCAACGAAACATTTAATTTAATAATGAGTCTTCATGTAATAATTAGCTATCTGCATGTTCAATTAATAATTTAAAATTAAAATAATTAGTAACAGTTACAGGATCATGTCAAAAAACTGGTACTATATCGGTACAGATTATCGACCAACCACGCGCACTCATATCGAACGGCCATAATGGATTTGTCCTTCGCAGTATTGACCGCAGAACGTCGATAAGTTCGATCGAATTTTTTCGCACGCTTTCTGGAAGGTCGTTAAAATTTGCTTCTTAGACGGCTATTTACATACATCCTGGATGCTAAATGACTGAAAGATCATTCCAGTCACTAATTAGTGGTATTTCCCTGCATGACGAAGCTGCACTCAATAACATTTCTCTAAAAGCTGCTCTTGACAGTCAAAATTTTGATCTAAATGGGCAGAGTCATGAGGATGGATTATCTGTTCCTGGAAAAGGAGTAAACATTGTTTCTAAGCCCAGGATGCTTTCTTCTGGAATGCCTGCTAGTTCCGGTTGTGGGACACTAACTATGGCTCCTGTTCCTATAGGTGCTCTTGCTCCCGGTAAAATTGGTCTCCCACTCAATGATTTAGAAAATATTCCTATTTTTAACACTGGGGACTCCGGTCCTCTAGAACTACAAGCTTTGCAAGGTGGTGCACAAGCACTTCAAGGTGTTCAAACTGTCAAGCTGACATTTATCAACTGTGGAGATCAACAAACTATTCTTCTTACCACCCCTTCTACACATTTCACTATGCCTGAGCAAAGTTTAGATGGCATGACTCTCACCCTGCCTGATAACTTATTAGCTACCGATCTTAATTTTGCTGGACTTACTTCAATGCAGCTGGGTGAGATGACTAGTGGCAACGATAAGCCCAATTCATCGGAAGGCTCCAAGTCCACAAATTACACAAATATGACTTCCCTCCCACCAATAACCTCCGTGTCAGACAAGCTTTATAGTCAAATCGCCAACGATAACGAATCGATTCAGCAAAGCCACAGTTACGCTATTGAGGATTTAAAACCGGTAATGCAAAAAAACAATGAAAAAATACATGATGGGAACTCTGGTAAGATTGCTCTATCTGTATATTGCTTTAGCTTATGCTCACACTAATCAGTCTGGCAATTTGAATGCGTCGCCAGTTGTTGTTACGTCCCAAAATACGTTTAATCAATCAGTGAATGTTAAACCCGTAAAGCTAATTGACCCAGGTAATATAAGTCCTATCCTCATATCCCCCTTAGGGAACGTATCACCTATTCCTCAAGTTGATGGCAGTGATCAGGAAGGTAATGATCAAAACCTGCCTGATGATATGAGTGAACTCAACACTAAGGTAATTTGATTGTTTGGTCCTAAATTGCTGCCTTTTAGGATTTAGCCCAAAGAATAAGCGCAGAGCTAAAGAGGTACAGCATTCCACAAGCAGTGTTTGCACAACGAGTTCTGTGTCGAAGCCAAGGAACGCTTTCTGATCTGCTTAGAAACCCAAAACCTTGGAGCAAGCTAAAGTCAGGACGTGAAACGTTTAGACGCATGTGGAACTGGTTGAACGAACCTGAGTACCAGCGGATGTCTGCCTTACGCCTTGCAAGTAAGTTGTTTTCCTTAACTCACAATCTTTGCAGCGTGTAAACGAAAAACAGAAGAAACTCAGAAAGCTCAAGATGAACGCTCTTCAAAAAAACCTCGACTTGTTTTTACTGATATTCAAAGACGCACGTTACATGCTATTTTCAAAGAAACTAAGCGTCCTAGCAAAGAAATGCAAGCCACCATTGCGCAGCAATTAAATCTGGAAGTATCTACTGTTGCTAATTTCTTCATGAATGCTCGTCGCAGATCTCTTGACAAGTGGGTAGATGACAAAGATGTACAACTAACTGCCTCAACGTCTTCCCCAGTTCATAGTCTGGAAGGGTCGCCACCCAACCACAGTGCACGCATGTCAACCCACATGGGTGATCATTGTGTTGTACGGTCAGCACATGATGCAATTACCACTCCACACCTTGCTGAATCAATGAATGACTCAGTCCTTAATCGAATCCCTGGTTGTCATTCAGCTATTCCAACTTCTGTCGAGCTTTCATCATCCCCTGCACCGCCTAGTTTAACTCCGGATCCATCATTATCTATGAACCATTCTGACGTCCATCTCAATGCACCCTGTCTTGTTAGTGAAGATGCTCGTAACACCTTGCTTTTATCATCTGGTGACTCAAATGTGTTGCCATCTCAGTTGCTGAGTCATTTAGTTGTTGGCGGACAAAATGCTATGTTAGTCACTCAAAATGTAAGCCCGAATGGTGATAAGAACATAATGCACTCCACTCCACTTTCCTCGTCATGCATTACGTCATCTGGTCTTTCTACCATAAAATCAGCATTGGATTCTCTGTGTGACCCTCCATCTCTGTCACCTCATTCTCATCTTCCTCCCGCTCCCGTTGATTCTTTGCACAATATTCATCCTATCCCACGTTCGATGGCGCACCGATCAACATCTGATACGATTTGTGCTGCAAACCACGTCTTGCCTTCTGCATCTACGCTTATAGGTCATGATAGACTTATTGTTGATTCTATTGGTCAGTCCTCATCTACAACAGTCCTAACTTCCTCACATAATTTGGCTGACACTTTAGTTCTACATGCAAAGCAGGAAGATTTAAGTTCCGGCTTAATAATCAATGCTACATTAAACTGACTTATTTGTTTCTTATTCATATATCATGTTTTCATAATATGCCCAAGTGCTGTGTATGTTTATTACAACTATAAGTTCATTTAAGTCAGCCTATTAGTTCTGCGATTGTGTGATTATGAACTATCACTTTCTTTAATTTCTGATTAACATTATTTGTTAAGTTCGCTGAAATGTTTAATATTTTCAAAATGGGAATTGTCCCCGTTCCCAGAAGGTGCAATATTTTCTTTTCACGGTCATAGTATTGATCATGACTTTTCTTTTTTTTTCTTGATAAGTGTACAGTTTTGTTTGGTAGTTTTCATTGGTTTCCTTGTTTTTTTTTCGCACATAATCGGGCTGATTTTTCTTAATTAATGTGCTTTTTCAAAAACTTGATTTTTTTTTGTGGTTCATCAACTGCCGTTCCACGAATTGTGCTGCATTTATTGCGGATGTGGCAAATTCTCTATCTAAAGACCAAGTTTCATCACATCTAGTATAAGTAGTATGATAAGTCAGTTTTCAGGCAATATATGCCTTGCTCGATCGATGCCATAGGTCCCTTTATCCATTTGTGGTGTCGTCTTTGCCAAATAAGTAATGTTTCCATGAACGAAACGGTTTTAGCTGCTTCAAGGTTATTATTTACCAATCGGTATGTCCACTCATTGACTTTTCATTACACTGTTCATTACTTCGTAATCTTTATAATGTGGTAATCCCTACATTCATGTACATTGATTGTTTCTTGGTTCTGATATGTTTATTGTAAGGTTTGATTACCACAAAATATACTAACAGTCTGTCAAATCTATCTTTTTGGTGCACACTCGACTGAACTATAGGCGTGGTTTCTTATAAGGGTGCGGTCATTTGATGTATTGTACATGATACTTCCCCTCCCCAGGGATTGTCTTCGCTTGTACATGAGGTGGCGTTGCTCGACGTTACCCGCTCTTACTCTTGCGTGTTCGCTAGGCCAAAAGTCTTATCAGGTCTGTTTCTAACTCACGGATTTCGAAGTAGTCCTAGTTTGTAAGCTTAGTTTTGCTCATCAATGGTTTTACGCCCTCAAGGAAGATAGCGGTGTGGACAGTAACTTTGTGTGAAGATGTGGTTAGCACTTAGTCTAGAAATGTCTAAACACGAGGTATGTCCATGATGAGGCTTTGTCGGTAGTTCGGTGTTCCTATCAAATATCTTTCGCTACATCTACATACTGAGTCAGGAAATCGCTATCTTAATTAAGCTCCAGGCATTCGTTTTTTAAGATCATGGACGAGTTTTTTTACCATTACTCCCTCTGTATCCGGGCTTGGGGCCGGTAGTAGCCCCCAGAGGGACTCCGAGCGAAGTTACATTAGGGTCACACAGCCTAATAATTTCTATTTGGTTTGATTTTTGAATGACTTTCCGTGTACTGACGAAGTATGAACTGGAGTATGAGCATTTTGGTTCATCCTTGCGTACTATGTGCTGCATCGTACGTCAGACCGTGGTGAATCATGTTTTGAAAGCTGGAATTTTGTCAGTTTATTTGTATTTGGTGTTTCTTTGGATTAATAACTTTGTCATTATTGTTGGTAATTTTATCTATGTTCTAGTATTATATAGTAATTTGAGTCAATGCATACATGTACCACTCTAGACTGATTATGATTGACTGATTAGTTAAACTCATTATAAATATTTTAGCACAAGGATCGTTAAGTGATATTTTAAGAATTGTCTGGATTATCTACTTTAGTGTTATTCAATGATACAGACTGAGTTAGATCGCTATTTCTCTGCAAATTAATTAATTATATTAAATGACGCTTTTTACCTATTCGCTACAGATAATTAAAATAGCCCATAGTGTTATTGAGTGAGAAAAAGAGAATTCCCTTTCTCTTAATCTATTCAGTACACTTTTACCGCTTCTGTCTTGATTCATTATAAGAGACTCAGTGGCTGCCGCTTCGTAAACTAAATGTATTTCTCGCGTAACCTATCGTTATCATAGACCACTACTGCAATTCTTGACAATTTTTACATTTCTAATAACGTCACGCAAAATCAGCTTACATTTCGAAATCCTGGTTATTGAGGTCAAACTCAGTAGTTCGAAAAGCTATTAAGTCCATTGCAAACCGCGTTGATCTCTGACTTATTCCTTAAAATTGTCATTTATGCACCAATATTTGGTATTATATACAAAACACCCGATCATCACATTATAAGTTGTTCGACTTATACATATATGTGAGTAGGTGAAATTGTTTTCAATCTTTATGATGACTTGTTTAAGATTAACTATTACCACACGACTGATCAACTATTAATAACCTTATATCAGAAAGGATGTTAGTAGCTGGAGAGGATTCACAAACTAAGCGGATTCTCATTAAATTTCCACTATGGTTCTTGATTTGTGTATTAAGAGGAAGAGCTTTAAATAGTACTTCTTGCTAATAACTAGCATTTACTCTAACCCTGTCCGTTGGATCGACCTCTGTGGTGACCAATACTGACATAGTGTTTTGTCTGAGATAGGGAAATAATTGTACTTCGTTACAACTATTATTAAATTATATAAATAAAACTTGATGCTCAATTTCTCTTTCGACTTTGTCATTGGTTTTTATGAACTCTTAAAATCCTCCATTGCTAAGAAGTATCAAGTTTTGCGTTTAAGAATAGCTCTTATTACGTATTGAAATCATCTAGAAAAAATAGAATCATTGTAAAAAATAATTTACTTATAGAGCTTAGTAGTCAGGCTTATTTTATCCTCATATGCTATTGGCGATTGCGTACTACATAGTTAAACATTGTGTTTATGATTGCATATAATGATATACAAAGCATGAATAAACCGTACCGTATGACAAATTACTCAAAAAAACTATCCCTATTTTGTTTTTTCTGTCTCACCATCCTTTTTTAAGATGCAAAAGATATTTTTCTAAATTCCACACACAGGAATCATAACACCAGCCTATTGAAAACCAGCACATAGTCTAACCAACTCCCTTGTTAACTTTATTTGTAATTTATTTCCATTTGACTAAAATAATTCTCTACTGTTCAAAGCGGTAAAATATCTTCAGGTAGTAAAATAATAGTATATTTGTGAAACTTTCATCATTACAAACAATCCACCCAATGCTTTGTTTATTTGAAATCATCGTACATCTGAAGGTGGGTTGTACTTTACAGAATACTATTATTGATCGAGTTGTGGCTACGCCTACTTAATGATATGGCCACATGTTCTGTCACTGTTTTTTTCTTAAAGATGGTCTTTATTATTATCCTAACAGAGAATGAATGGTAACTGATAGGGATTGTTACGTATATTCTTATTAGATAACAATTAAGTAGCTATATTGTATGTACATTCATGTTCCTCTTGTTATAATCTCCTATTGACTACTACTATACGATTTACTATTTTCAAGTTATTGCCAAACTTATTAGTTACAGTCTTTCACAATCACAACCACTTTTTGGCTTGATCTTGCACAATTCTTATATTCTGTTTTATGGCATAATGCGGTCTGATTTGCTTGTATATAAACTGAGTATGTCTGAAATACCTGATTAATATAGTGGAAGCTGAGATTGTTGTTGTACCCCAATAGGAATAATGAATGTTTGAGACTTACGTTCTGGACTCAGCTGGCTGGGCTAGACAGGGAAGCGGGACCAATCAGAACTCTAGGCCGTTCTTACGTGCTTACGCGTCTTTGGTCCGATCGATAATACGTTTCGCTCTAATCTGCAGTCATCAGTTATAACACTTGTGTTCTGGATTGAAACAGACAAGGCCAGGAGAGAATAACCAATAAGGACTCACAGTTGACTGTAGACTGCTCGTGCTGGTTAACGCGTCATTGATTTGGCACTGTTCCGAGGTCGTATACGTCGGTTTTTAATTGGCAATTTAGCCACTTAATAATTAACCGAACGAGAGTCATAACATTCTTCTCTTTCTTTCTTTTCCTGAGTTTTTAATTTGCATAGAACGGTAAAATATTCTGTCTGACGCAGTTAATTTTGGCTTTATTAGTGTCTTGTTGATGAGCGAACTAATGATTTTTCTTGTTATACATCGTTTGGCTCAGTTTTTAGAAGCTAATAAATCTTTATTTCTTTTTTGTTACTTATCAACTTGGTTCCCTAAGCAGCATTGAGGAAAATATAGTGCTTTATCACTTCGCCTCATAATGAGAGACATTTCCCTCAAGTTATCATATTTGATAATGGCTTTGTGTTAGACTGAATTGTGTATGAAGTAAATACTAACAGCCAGTGCGAGTCTGTAGCTTTTCGTTAAAAATCTAAATATTTTCAATTCTCATGTGTGTTATCATTAATATCTTCATTCTTACTCTGATTGTTGTTTGGACTAACTTTGAGATTAAAACAGTTAAAATACTAACATTTTCAAGCTTGCTACTGATAAGCTTCTAGTAAAACAATGGTGTCAGTGATCCCGTTCTGTATCTGTTAAAACCAATAATAATCGTGATCACATTATATACTTAACAAGGATATAGACCCACTACTTAAAAAATACCGTTCATGTGCAGTATTCTCCCAGATGGCTTTTTTTCGTGGGATTCTTATTTTTAGCCTCAGCACCACTCGCTTGATTGTTGCTATCACTCGTCACCTCATAAGTGTCTGATTTCATCCTACTTCAATAGTCATCTCTCCTAGCCCTTTTGTAGAACATACATTGTTTTGATTAAAGCTAGACTCTTTATGGCAAAACGTTCCTTTCTCCTGCTGCAATCGAGCTTCCTTCTATATTTCATTAGTGGTCAGTTTCTGAATCTTATGCAGTAAGTCTGACAAATCAAGTCCCATTATTGTATGGCAAGCAAGAGCTCACTGTCGTACTATACTCTCAATATCTGGTAAATGAATAGTATATTCTACCTGAATGTGGTACGATTTCTTCGATGACTGGACTAGTTGAATAGCCCTCTTAGTGTCCTTCAATTTTTTTTACCTGTGAAGATAATGGTTTAATGGGTTTCTTAAGATCATATTTTCTATGCATCAGAATGGAATCAAGAAGCGCAATTAACACAGATAATATTCGATGCGAAATCACATTATAGTACTATGGGCTAAATAAATATTACTAACTCTTCTTCCTATTTTATTCACTAAATGCAGGTGGATTGAATTAAGTTAGAGCTACAAATTTCATGGAAGGGCTAATGATACTACCCAGGCATTTGAATTGAAGTAGGTCAACTGGAGTTCGAACTTATGACTTGGTCGATTGCTTAAATTCTATTTCTCTATTACGTAATCTCTGAAAAAATATAGTAAAATGAATAGAATACGTAGTTCCGATAATTCTCCCATGTTTAATGAAATAAATTACTAGTTAATACCATATCTCCCCAAAGTATTCAATATAGGCATGGATAAAAGTAGTTTATAATATTCGTCTAGTCAAATGTTTAAATCCTTGAAATATGTGAATATTGGACAATAGTGGTTTGGGAAAAGTTTTATTTCTTCTGTTGTTTTTGTGCAGTAAATGACCATGATTACATCTACTGATTTACTACAACTTATATATTTTTATTGAGTTCTTTCTGTCTTCAGTAGTTCTTATGACTGAAATGTTGTGCTTCACATGAAATAAAAATTCATTAATAAAGTATTTTAGTTCCTTAACCACGCACTATAAAAAATTGTAATCTGTGCAACCTTTTACATAATCTATGTCGGAATGTTCTGCAAATTTAAAGATGTTTTTAGTTCCGTTGAAAATTACTTATGCTATAGTTTCCATCTAATTTATATGGTTTACTATAGTCGTAAAGTAAAAACTTTA